TTAAGATTTGTCCTATCTTCTTGGGTGGTTTGTAGATAGTTCGGATATTGTGTTTGTTCAATATCCTGCCGATCCGGTCTGTAGTTCCTTTGACGTAAGTCAAGTATACAGACTGCAAGGCCCACGAAACGTTGGCACATCAAGAATGGACCAAGACATGGAGAAAACCCGCGAAGCACAGATTAGTTAATATATAAAAATATATCGACATGTCGCATTTTATCGGTGAAACAGCGATCTCGTTAGAATTCGGGCTTCACTTTAGAATCCCGTTAACAGCGTTAAAATAGTATGTATAATCAAAATTGATGCTAGACAATAAAAATGCATGAAATAAATATATAGTGCCATATACATGTGTGGAGACGCTAGTATCAAAATTGATTTAAAACTTTGATTTATATGTTCGTTAAAGATGGATCGCGTTAATACTTACAAATTTATATTACTTAATTATTGACAATGCTAATGTCTTTAATTATCTCCGGGCTTTTGAGGTTGTTTCGAAAAAAATAAATGTCATGGTTGACGGTTTTTGATAGGTATCTCGTCGATGTAGGCAAATGATGCTTTAGGCAATCGGTTTGTAAGTATATGGAGTCCTCCCAAGAATCCGTCGATTGATATACACTGATACGCGTTAGAACAGTAAATCCGATGGTGCTTTAACGTTTTGAGTATACACTCATCGTTCTATTATTCTATAATAGTATTAATATGTAATTTGTTGCACAAATAAATTAAATTAAATTATTAAAATTAAATATTTATCGAAGAATAGTGAACTATTATCTAAGAATATTTATTCTAAGTTTCGTAACAAATATTTTTCGACTAACATAAAAAAGATAAGAAAGACTTGATTATTTAAGTTGAATGATATTACTGAAACTAGAAAAAAATTTTGAATAAAGAAATATTCCATATTAAAGTTTAAATTGCACAAAACTATTATTTTATATTTTCTAAAAATTAATGAATATTAAATAAATTTTATATTAAAAATAGTAGAGAAATAGTGCTTGTAAATTATTCGTTATTTTTATTTAATATGCATTTTTTGTTAAACTAAATTGTACTAATATTCTAGAACTTTTTAACAGTATAAAAACGGATAAAAAATATTAACAGAAAATATTAATTTAAACAATTAAAAGGATCCTGGAATCGAACATTTTATCAATCAAAATTCATTTCGATCAATTCATAAGATTTACTCATATTGATTTTCCAGAATAATGTGTAAAATTTATTTTTCACTACTAAAATTGAAGAATAAAGATGTAGCTAACTACTGCAAGAAATTTGAATGTTTTAATTTGAATATAATTAAAATAATAAATAAACACTTTTCAGGAAAATATTGTCCTTTTAATAAACATATGTAGCGCAGACGGATAAGGATTTTACGTATATTATAGGTCTTTTATTACACATATATTAAATTGCTAATATATCAATAACATTATGTTAATTGCACGTATTTGTTCTGTGCTTAATTTTAGGAGCAATCTAATAGAGAGGAATAAAAAATATTGAATGCATATGTAGTTTGAAAATCTCTGTTTTCGACAGGAAATTTAGATCATCAATTTCGACAAATTATATATTCTTCTCAATAACAACGGCATATCCAGCGTATTATAATTATTGCTATTGATTAAAATATCTGACAACAGAATAGTAGATTAATTCCGAACTTTGATTAAGTATCTTAATCTTTCATTATATTAATAAAAAATAAATATATAAAATTTTGGTGAACAATGTATCATGAATCTTATGTTTATTAATTCAAAATCGACATACATCAAAGCCAATTCACATACAGAAAAAATTCATTTTTTTCTTACAAATTTATAAACGTGATTTTATTTCTCTTTTATCTAAATATTAATAAATGTTAATATTCGCTGCCATTATATTCAAAGTATAAATAAACACATTCTAAAATTAAATAATACATAATTTCCACAGGAATTTCTATAGCAATAATACATAATTTCCGTAGAAATTTAAACTATACGCTTCCTGTTGTTCATTTATGCTCCGAATATGTATGAAAATAATCTTTTATTAATTTATTGTATTAAAAAGTAAGAAAGGAAATTCTATAGGATAAACGATGTCATTGACAGTATTTTTATTCTATAATGCTAATATGTAGTATAATACATTTGATAAGCACAATTATTTTCCAAAAGGAACGCACCAAATTATTTATAATACTGAAGAACAAAAATAATAATTAATATACGAATATAAAAGAGTGCTAATAAAACAAGAATAATAATAAAAAACACGTAGATTTATAGGATATCTGGAAAATCGAGTAAAATAAAAAAATTTTTAAATAAAAAAGATTAAAAAAGAGGGATGCCTAGCGGAGTATGTCTCCGCGTGGTGCATTTTTGGTAACGCTAAAATAATCTGAAATGTAGTTATGTATGTTAAAACCCTATGAAATAAATTATGATTATAAAAAATAAAATACAATTTTTTTTAAATATAAGTAGTTATAACTCAAAAGCGACTTACTTCCGGATCGTTCTTTATATAGATTTTGCTTTCATCTTAAATCCCGAATTACTTCTTGTAGTATTTCGGGCGATTTCCGGACACTTGTATAAAATCGAGAATGTGCATTATAATGTATGCTTATGTAAACTGCATTATTCGATTATTCGAAATGAACCATACATTTTAAATTGTAAGTTTTGTTTTCGAAGAATACGATTAATTACTGCAGACATAATTATTCCTCGATAAACGTTGTTTTTTAATTTAGTGATTCTATTTATCTTTTATTTGACACATTTTATTTATATTGTTAAATATAATAATATACTTGACGCGTTTATATTTCCATTCTAAATTTTTTTTAGTTACCGTGTATAGAACGCGTATCAATTTTTCGAGAAAAAAGCGTAGCACTCAATTTACACTCTTTGCGATACATACACTCTTGAGTTTTTCAAATACAATAATGTGTATTAATATTATATAAATCATATATGCAAATTAAATAACTGCTTAACAGTCCAAAATTGTTGTTAATAAAATCTTTGATAAAATACGATCTATGTAAAATAATGTAGATTATTATATTTACAAGACTATTATTATTTAATTTGTAATTTGATCCTATTACGATGAACATTCAGAATTGCATGTTTTACTCTTTGATCTTCCAGCCAAATATGGATGCTACTTGTTTGTGTAATTCTTTCGTAATCAAATGAGAATCCGTCACAGTAACATTTAATCAACTACATTTCAATCTATAGAAATGGTAAATATGTAAAATGAGTAAAATATCTAATCACAATTGGTTTTGTCAAAAGTTTATTCATAACAATTATTTAGAGGAATTGTATTTTAAAAACTGAAATCTAGTTTACATTGGGAAATTGTTCATCTCCCGGCACTACTACAATGTTTCAATGCGTACAGTGCCATATTCTCCAATTTTAATGGAGCAACACTTCTCCTAGTCATATAATACGAGTTAAATTAATTAAAAAATTCCTCTATCATCATGTATCTTTTTCTGTATTACTGAATTTAAAAACCAAAAAAATTTGATAATTTCAATGAAAAAGGTTTTTATTTTTTATCTTTCTGGCTTACGAAAAAAAGTTATATAATCGATACTTTTGATGAAATGAAAAATTGACCTCTTCCTAAACTCATTTGAAAAGATTATTTTAAAAAATATTTCATTTTATAATAAATATTAGTAAATTTGAACTATTAAAACACATGGCATAATATCTTTTGTACAAAGATGCCTTGTACAGCGGCGGTTTTGAATTCTTTTCAGATTCAATAAAACCTATAACATCTGTAATTTTGTTTTTGCACATATTATTTACATTTCATTTAATCAGTTATTACAAAAATTGCAACACAATCAAAAGATATTCTGAATAATATTCTATATAATTTTATTCTGTTAACCAGTTTTATGTGATCAGGAGAAGTTATATTTATTACAAATTGTATAATATGTAAGATTTATCGTTACGTGATATAAACGAAACGAATAATTACCAGGATCTAATCTTATTTGTTTTGATAGTGGTTCCACAGTCAAAGGACTTTGCGTTTCGCCGGAGACTGGTATATCTTCATCGTCACTGCTTTGTCTTGGCATATTTTCCACAGTTGCAGAACTTTGCGTCGCAGTACTTCGTATTTCGCTGGACTCTGCCTCTGGTGTCTCTTGTGTCTCTGGTACACCCTCACTCGGAATGTCTTGTCCAGGCCTATATTTACATATTAAATAAAAAGATAGAAAACTGTTACGTATTATTTAAAAAACAGAAAAATGCCATGAAATACATAACAATGTAAATTCAAAGTGTACGTCCTGTTGAGAAATTAAATCAAAATTTGCATTTTTTAGATTCAGTATTGATATTATCAATTCGTTAACATTTACATTTGTAATTTATTTATGTTATACTTGTATAAAATTAATGTCTTTAAAATTGAATATTGTAATATAATGCTATATATACAGAAATTAAATCACATAATGTAATATGCAAATGTTGACAGATATACTGCTAGGGTGTCCGATCATAAATTTAAAGTACGGTTGAAGTAATTTAAATTGAACAGAACGAAGAAGTTAATTTTTTTCCATTTTGCAATTTACGTACTAACTAATAAGAAATTATTTAATTAAAATAAATGAATGAACGTTTATTAGGAGCAATTCTGATAGTAAATGTATTGCACATTATACATGCATGTTAAATACGCCCTAATATTTCATTACATACGAAGTAACCGCAATCGTCGCGATACGTTTGTTAGCGAACTCTTCTTTGCGTTTATATACATTCATTATTGAATCTATCATCACAAATTCCTTATATAAGCAACATAAAGCAGAAAATGTTAGTATTTATCATACTTTTTGCTTATATTCTACATACAGGAAATATAATGTTGGCCATATTATGTAAGAAATTTTTGATATTCGTATAATTAAAAAAATCTTAAATATTTTGTAATTTATCAGTTTGTTAATAACGTGAAAATGTAATAATTAGTTTAAAATTTATTACATTTTTTGTAACATAATATGAATTATACTTTTATTGAAAATTAATATTTAATTTTATACCTCGTTCATTTCATGTTAATGTTATTTAATATAAGAAAAGTGAATAATTACTCAACAACGTGTACTTCTTCAATCTCATATCTCTCCGCTGGATGTGATATCTGCGTTGCAGCTTCTCGCTTTTTCTTCTTTAATTCTTCCACCTCACGTTGTAGATTTTCATCTGCCTTTATAGTTCTCGACATAGGTGTCATACTATTATTAAATAATTGTTTCGGGATAAATATTAAAATTATAAATGAGATCGTTTATTTGAGTAAATCAATTAAGTACAAAATAACACCGATTATGATCAAAATTAAACGTTAAATTATACGAAAAGAAGTTTCCCGTTTGCCTACAAAACGATTGTCTATAGCTTCGCATATATATGTATGTATTTTATATAAAATAATCTTAAAATTAATAAAAGTTCTTATTTTCAAGAAGTTCTTTACAGGTTTTAAGATGCTAGCATGAAATTAAAGTTTCTAAATTTGGGATTATTATAATATTTCATATTGATTATGTGTTGAAAGATCGAAAGTAATTGTCGGGCAGTTATTTTTGAGATTATTTCATTTAAAGTACGTACGTATACGTGTACTAACTTTGACCATAACTGGCGCTTATTTGTATTTAATTGCTTTATGATTATATTACTATTTGTAAAATGTTTTTGATAAGATGTATTTTGATAGAACAAAACTATAGACCAATCATCGTCTCTTCATATTAGTATAAAGTTATAGAAATAAATCAAGTAAAACGCAATTATTTTTGCTTATTTTGATATATCTAAAAATTATTCGTTTTATACCGATGGATTTGGTAGTGGTCTCTCATAATTATCAAAATGTCCAAATACAATTTATTGTCTTTTTCCAAATTTTCTGAATATTCACACATAGAGCAGGTTGCTAAGGTTCCATCCGTTATTTTGTAATTTAGAAGTAGAGTATTTATACTTTTGTAATAATGCTTTATTTCATTGTAAATCATATTTTTGGTCCCGTGATGAATTTCCCAATGGTTTTGTATGTAATGTAACTTATTAGCATTATATTTATATCTATAATAACAAGGTTTTAAATCACAATATAGTCTTTCGTTTTTATATTTCATTTTATATTGTTGTAGTAGCGTATTAAGATCTTCCAGAGAATCAGGTTCCGTTTCTATAATTCTTAGAGTCTCTTCCATCGAAACTTCCTTATCAATATCTTGCTTTTTTTTGTTTACTTCTAATTGCATATTTTTTTCTTTTTCTAGCTCACTTTGTATGAATGCTTTGTCTACGGAACATAATTCTTGTACTTCTTCTTGTAGTATGTCCGAATATTTGCTATGGAAGCCATAAGATTATTATTAAATATAGTTGATTAATTTTTGTATTATATTAATTATGTTCCGTGTCAATTTTAAATTAATTGTCTATTAGTAGATTACCAGTGACTGCAATACGAGTATATGGCACGGAATTATTATGTATTAATATATATATATATATAT